TTTTTTTTTTTTTTTTTTTTTTTTGGGGCCGGGTTTAGTGGCGCGGCTTCTGACCTGAGGCACTGGGCTCTCATAATCATCACATCATATTCATCATCATCATCATCATCATCATCATCATCATCCACCACAATATCCATAATCATAATTCATTCATCCATCATCATCAGCCACAGCATCAGCATCAGCATCACCATTCATCACCATCATACCATCATCACCATCATCACCATCATCACCATCACCATCACCATCACCATCACCATCACCATCACCATCACCATCACCATCACCATCACCATGACCATGACCATCACCACCACCAGCGCCACCCAGCATCATCATCATCATCATCATCATCAGCAGCATCATCATCATCATCAGCAGCATCATCAGAATCATCATCATCAGCATCAGCGGTATCAGCATCAGCCGCAGCAGCAGCAGCAACAAAATCAGCATCGGATGATCAGCATCATCAGTATCATCAGCATGACTACTATCGCTATCAGCAGCATCATCACCACCATCATCATAAATCCTCATCAACACCATAATCAGCACTATCGACATAATGATCAGCATCATCAACAGCATCATCATCATCATCATCAGAGGCAGCAGCATCACGATAATCAGCATGAACACCATCATCATCATCATCAGCAGCAGCATCATCATCTTCAGAGTGATCTTCATCGTCATCGTCGTCGTCGGTTTCACCATCATCATCATCATCATCATCATCATCAGCATCGTCATAATAACCAACAGCAACATCAGCATCAGCATCATCAGCTGTATCGTCAGCATCTCATCACCTCACAGTCATCATCACCACCACCACCGTCACCATCATCATCCACAACCACCATCCTCATCCTCATCCTCATCATCATCATCGACATCAGCATCAGCAGCAGCAGTATCATCAGCAGCATCAGCAGCAGCAGCCGCATCATCACCATCATTATTATCATCATCAGCATAATCATCAGCATCATCACTAGCAGCATCATCAGAATCACCATCACCATCACCATCATCATAATCATCAGCGTCACCACCATCATCATCATCAACAAACCATCAAATAACCACGATCAGCACCGTCGTCATCGTCATTACCATCGTCACCACCATAATGTCATTAGTGAACTTGTTAGTATTACTAGTATGAGTACGCGTGGAATGATTACTCTTCGTACGATGCTTCCTACTGGTTTAAGAATTATTGCCCTTATCATTATCAGTCATCCGCATCTTCACCCTCCTTTTCAACCTCATCCTCATCCCCATTATCATCCTTAGCCTCGTCGTCATCCTCACCATCGTCGTCGTCCTCGCCGCCGCCGCCGCAATCGTCGTCAGCACAATCGCCGCCGCGGTCATCGTCGTCGTCGCCGCCGCCGCCGCCGCGGTCGTCGTCGGCCCCGCCGATGTCGTCGTCGTCGCCGAGGGCACCGCCGCCGCCCGCGACCTCCAGCCTGCTCCGCAGCAGCTCCGCCTCCGACGCCGAAGCCTCCGCGGCCTCCGCGGCGGCGTGCTGGCGGCGGCTGGACGACGCCCTGGCCACGGGTGGGCTCCTCCTCCCCTTCGTCCCCGGCCCCTCTTCCCCCTCCTTCCTCCTCCCGTCCTCCCCCTGCCATCCTCCCTCCCCCATCATCCCTCCCCCTCCGCCCTCACCCTCCTCCTCTCCTCCCCTCACTGCTCCTCTCGTCTCTCCTCCTTCCTCCCCTCCTCCCCCCACTCTCTTCATCCTCCGTGTTCTCCCTTTTCCCCCTTGTTTCCTGCCCCGCCCCTCCTATTCCACTGCTCCCGTTTCCACCATCAGGTGTCCCCCTCCTCCCTCGTTTGTTCCTTTCTGCCCGTTCGCCGCCCCCCCCCCCCCCGGGGGAGCGGATCCAAGGGGGGAGAAGGGAGTAGGTGGTCAAGACAGTTGCGCTCGCGTCAAACTACGTGACGGCCACGTCCTTCGCTCCGAAATAATCGGGAGGTAAGCCTCATCGTTGCCCTTGTCAATGCCGGCGGTCTCTTCCCGTCTCCTCATGGCCAGTTCCTTTTTGTCGCCCTGGCGGAAACCCTTTTTGCGCCCCCATGATATGCCTCATCCTCGTCATACCGCCATTTTCCCCATCGCCACCTCCTCGTTTGCACCAGTAGCAAAGGCACGCAAATCGATGCTACTTGGCGCCGTCGCCGCCAACACGGGCGCGTTGTCTGGAAGCCGTGGGGGCAACCCCGTGGGCCAGACCGTTGGGACAACCCCACGAGCCGCTGGGGCGCGGGAACAAACCGTTGGGACAACTCCTCAATTCTTGAGCGAATCGCGGACGCGCTAATGCGGGAGGCAGCGCGAAGCCCAGCTGTGCAGCGAACTGCCCCGCCTCAGCCCTGGAGTTCCCCGCTCTCTTGTCGAACTCCCTGGGCGCCTTCCCCAGGGAAGCGGGCGGCTCGCGTTCCAAGAACTCTCGCGTGGGCGGCCGCAGGATTAGCACGTTGCGCATGCACGTCCTCGCCACACACTCGCAGACTGGGTTCCCGCTCTAGAATTCAGCCAATGCAGGGCCGAAGAGGCCAGACGCGACGACAAATGCAAGATTGTGATGGCCCGCCGGGGTTGGTAACATGAGCGGCGGGCATCACAGGGAGGGGTTCCCGCTTGAGACTCCCTCATGGAAAGGGGCTCCCGCCCCAATCACTCATAGACGACGCTCAAGCCAGCGACCCCCCAACTGTCTGAGCTTCAAGAAGTCAAAAGCGACGACAGCTACAGGGCCCCGATACCCCACTCGGATAAGTAACATGAGACGCGGGTCTCATAGGAAGGGGAGGCTCGCTTGAGACCTGCTAACACTACACTGACAGACGAAGCTACCGCTCGAGACGTCCGCCATATCCACGACTGGGGAGCCCACAAACGACGACAATTACAAGGCCCCGATATCCCGTTCGGAGCAATAACATGAGCTGCGGGCTCCACAAGGACGGGGGGCCCGCCCGAGACCTCCTCGCGATTCACTCGCCGACGAGGCCCCCGCTCGAGACGTCCGCCGGATTCGTGGCTGGGCGGCCCATACGCGACGACAGTTACAAGGCCCCGATGACCCGCTCGGCTTAACGACATGAGCGGCGAGCCCCACAGGGAGGCGCTGCCGCATAAGGTTTCCTCGGGTTCACTCTCAGACGAAGCTCTCGCTCGAGACTCCGCCACATTCATGGCTGAAGAGCCCAAAATTGGCGACAGTTACGATGCCCCCACAACCCGCTCGGATCACTCACATGAACTGCGGGCCCCATAGGGGGAGGCCCCGCCTGAGACCTCTTCGCCATCCGCCCACAGACGAGGCACCCTCTTGACACTTCCGCCACATTCAGAACTGGGCAGCCCTAAAAAGACGACGGCCACAGGGCCCCGATGACCCGCTCGGATTACTGACACGAGCCTCGGAAATTTAGGGAGGGAAGAGCCACATCCATAAATAATTTCGAACACCCTGAAAAATACCGAAACAGTGTCTGCCCGACACGATGGCGAAGTGCCGAACGAATATCATATCCCAGGGCCCGACACGCGCAAACCCTCCAGTTTCGGTATTTTCTTGGCGTTCGAAACTACCCCTGGTGATCAATGCTAAAAGTAAGCTGGAGCATCACACGGCAGGAGGAGAAGACCTTCCCAGCTGCTTCGGCCTCGAGCCACTTGGCCTCGAGGTCCTCGAAGAAGCTCGTCGCAGAGGCGCTGGTCTCGTAGGGAGAGGCTCGGAGCTTCTTGTGGGAGCTCGGGGTCTCCGCGGGCGAGCTTGCGCGGCGCATGCTTCGTTTTCGCCGCGCCCATCGGAAGTTTCCTGCCGACCCCCCCCCCCCCCGTGCGCGGCCCGCGCAGCTCTCTCTCTCTCTCTCTCTCTCTTTTTCTCTCTTCGCCAGGTCGTCAGAGGCGGGGCCGCGCGCGAGCGCCCTCCGTCTGCGAGGTGGGAGCGCGGCCCAATCCCAAGACGTACTACCTACCAGACCACCCCAACCCAACCCGAAGACCCGAACTTCGGGCTGGGGGGGGCTACGAGTTCCATTTGTGTTTTTTCATTGTTCCCCGACCCCGCCACCCCACCCCACACCTGGAAACGGAAGGCAGATTGAGGCCTTCGGGTTGGGTTGGAGTGGTTTGGTGAGTGGCGAAAGACGTACCAGCTGTGCCACAACTGGGTCTTATGCTCCAGGAGGGAGGGCGGGTGCGGGAGCCGGCGGGGCACTCTGACTCGGTCGACCTGGCCAACTTGACTCTGACTCTTACTCTTGCTCTTACTCTGCTCCGCCTCCTCCCCCAACGCTCTCTGGGGAGCCCTCGGTCCAAAACACCCAGGGATCTGCTAACCCGGGTCAATCAGACCTGGGTCAGCAGGAAACCAAAAAACTGCAATGCAGGAAACAACAGAAAACAGAACAAAAAAACAGGAAAATTGCAACGCAGGGCTTCGCAAACCCAGGTCAGCCAATATGCGCGGCCGCCTCGCGGCCACGAGCGACTCGCTAACCCGGGTCAGCCAGAGGGGGTCTTCACAGGGTCCTGCAGAATCCGGTGCCCTGGCTGACCCCCGTTTACATTGACCCCCGATTGCGATGCATCGCCAACGCATCGGCGAAGCATCGGCCATGCACTGGCGACGTCGGCGGTACATCCGCGACGTCGGCGTGGAGAGGATTGGGCCCCACAGCAAGCCGCCTCGCCGAGGCATCGGCGATGCGGCGCGATCCTCCGACCCCATCTACTCCTGATGGGCCTATTTTCCACCACCACCACCACCACCACCACCACCATAAGTTGGAGGGGGAGGGGGTCCTCCTCCTCCTCCCTTCCTCCCTCCCTCCCTCCCTCCCTCCTCCTCCTCCTCCTCCTCCTTCTCCTCCTCCGCCTCCTCCTTCCCCCTCCAACTTATGGTGGTGGTGGTGGTGGAAAACAGGCCCATCAACTCCGACCCCATCTACGAGGCCTCGAAAAACACCCCAGAGCATGGACCCTCCCCATCCGGTGAGGCCTGGCGGAGGCCAGCTCCTCCCGCAGGCGCTCCGCGGTCTCGCGCCCGCCCTGCCGCTCCGCGCCCAGCTCCCGCCGGCTCGCGCCGAGCTCCTGGGGGCGCGCCCCGCTGGGGCAGAGCAGGAGGGGGGGGGGAGAGAGCGGAAAGAGGGAGGAGAGGGGGGGGGACGGGGAAGAGGGAGGGAGGAAGCGAGGGATAAGAAAGGAGGAGAAGCAGGAGAAAGAGGCGAGGAGGAGGACGAGGTGGTGGAGGAGGAGGAGGAGGAGGAGGAGGAGGAGGAGGAGGAAGAGGAGGGAACGGAGGAGGAGGAGGAGGAGGAGGAGGACACGAGGACCGGAGGAACGGAGAGGAACGGAGGAGGAAAGGAGGAAAGGAGGAGGAAAGGAGGACATGAGAGGAAAGGGGGAGGGAAAGGAAGCGAACAGCTGCGAGGGATGAGGAGGAGGAGGAGGAGGAGAAGCAGAGGAGGAAGAGGAGGAGGAGGTGAGGTAGGAGGGAAGGGGTTTGGAGGACGAAGGGTGGAGGCGGGGGAAGGGATAATAGAGGAGGAATGTGGAGGAGGAGGAGGAGCAGGAGGAGGGGAGGGGCGCTCCGTTCTCGATCCCTCCTCCTCCTTGTGAGTAGCTCTTCCCTGTCGGGCACCACCAGACACGTCCGAGGGCCCGACCAGGAGTTCGCTCGAGATTTACTACCAGCTTACTGCCCCGAAGCTTAACATCCGCTGGGGGAGGAGGAGGAAAGGAGAAGGAGGAGGAGGAGGAGGAGGACCAGGAGGAGGGGAGAGGAGGAGGAGGACGAGGAGTAGAGGTGACGAAGAGAGGACGAGGAGGATGGGAAGAGGAGTGAGGAGGGAGGAGGGAGGAGGCGAAGAGGAGGAGGAGGAAAGTGAGGAGGGAAGGAGGAGGGGAGGAGGAGCAGGAGGAGGGGAGGAGGAGGAGGAGGAGGAGGAGGAGGAGGAAAGGAGGAGGAAAGGAGGGAGGAGGAGGAGGAGGAGGAGGAAAGGAGGAGGAAAGGAGGAGGAGGAGGAGGAGGAGGAGGAGGGGAGGGGAAGGTGGAGGGGGAGGGGGAGGAGGTGGTGGAGGAGGAGGAGGAGCATTGTAAACCCAAGAGTCATCAACGATGTGAGAATTAACCCTCCCTCCAAGCTCCCTCTTAATAGGCCCCTACAACGGTTCATTTCCAGTGAAGGAACTGCCTCGTTGGAAGACAGCCGATTGAAGACCCTGAAGCATGCCAAAACATTACTCTCGGGATTCCAACGCCACGGATCAACCTGATTGTTGTGTACTGACGATCCTGAATCGTGCCAGAACGCCATTCTTGGAATTTCACACCGCGAATCAACGCAACTGCTGCACCCGCATAAATCATGAATCCTTCCGAAACACCATTCCTGGTACGTTCACCATGAGAATCCGTGAAATTCTTGCAAATGTTATAAACGAATGTGCGCGGCACTAAGGCGGGATCCACAATTTGAAAAGGAACCGCCCTCAATCCGTCAAACTCTTGCAATGTTTAAAACGAATGCGCGCGGCGCTAAGGCGAGAGCCACATTTTGAAAACGGGTTGGCCTCAATCCGTGAAGCTCTGACTATGTTTTAAACCAAATGTGCGCGGCGCTAAGGCGAGAGCCATAGCTTTAAAACCACCCGCCCTCCATCTGTGAGTAGGTTGTCAACTTTTGAGCTTCAGAATCGGCGAAACGCCCGGCCCGCACTAAAACTGGCCTCGGGGTGCGACAGGGAGAAATTATTGATATGGAAAAGGAATGGAGTAGAAGGAGGAGGAGGAGGTGGAGGAGGAGGAGGTGGAGGAGGAGGAGGACGACGAGGAGGAGGAGGAAAGGAGGAGGAAAGGAAGAGGAGGAGAAGGGGGAAATGAGGAGGAGGAGGTGGAGGAGGACAGGAGGAGGAAAGGAGGAGGAGGAGGAGGACAGGAGGAGGAGGCCATGTCTGTGTCGCCGTCGTCCACGCCACCGTTCGCGTCGCAGCTCCCCCATCAAGCTCTCCAGCCAAAGGGAAACTGAGCAAATTCACAATCGAGACGACTTGAAGCCTCTTCTCTTTGATCCCTCCCCCGCTGGGGGGGCGGGGGGGCAGGGTCCTGGGGGAGGTCCTCCTCCTCCTCCTCCTCCTCCTCCTCTCCTCCTCCTCCTCCTCCTCCTCCTCCTCACTCCTAACCATCTCCACCTCCCATCCCACTCCCCCCTCCTCTCCCCCCGCCGCCCCCCCCCCCCGCCCCCCCCCGCGTCCTGGGGGAGGGACCCTGAGAGAGAGCGGGAGGGGAGGGGGGTCCCATGTGTTGTGCCCCCCCAGGGGGAGCACCCCTCCCTGGGAGAAGCTGTCGGCTCCAGAGCGTCAGCGTCGTCGACGTCGACGTCGTCGTCGTCGTCGTCGTCGTCGTCGTCGTCGTCGTCGTCGTCGTCGTCGAGGTTGTCGTCGTCGTCGTCGTCGTCGTCGTCGTCGTCGTCGTCGTCGTCGTCGTCGTCGTCGTCGTCGTCGTCGTCGTCGTCGTGAACCTTCAGGGTCGGCGGCACCAGCCGTAAGGCCTTCGGAATAGTGCCAAAGTTATGCGGATGCACGGCCAGTGGTTTTCAGCATGGGGCTCTCGCCTTAGCGCCGCGCACATTCGTCTCAAAAGCTTTTAACCAAGACATGGAGGGAGGGACAGTCGTTCTCGGAATTTGGCTTTCGCCTTCGCGCAGCGCACATGCTTCTTAGAAGGTCTCAGCGAATCTGCCACCGTGCTACGCAGTGGAGTGCCCCAAGGCCCACGCAGCTCTGCGAGGTCAAGGGCGTGTGGTTCTGAGGGTTACTCAAACAAATACCCAAAAATAATCAAAAATAGTGAAAAATGTCCCCTGCTTGTTTGTTTACTATCTTTGAATTTTCCCCCTGTAGGGGGGCAGGCCCGATTTAATTCTTAGGGTATCTTGAAGGCCTGGACCTCCCCCAGCTTCCCAGGCGGTCCTGGGCGCCACTGCGCCCTGCCGGGGCGCGTCGCCTGAGCCTCTCCGGAACGGCAAGAGAAACCCAAGGACGGACCACGAGGACCCCCAGAGGCCCCAGGACGGCCGACGAGGGTCCCGAGTCGTCGAGCGATGGGCCCAAGACGCCCAAGATGGCCGCCAGACGGCCGACGATGCCCCCAAGACGTCCGAAGGGGCCTCCTGAGAAGCAGAAATTGTTGATTCGCCATTGGTTTTTGAAAGAGTTTCGCTCTCGCCTGTTCGGTGTCCCGACGCTCCAGGACGGCCCAAGAGGCGCCCAAGACGGCCCCAGAGGCCCCCAAGACGGCTCCAAGAGAGGGCCCCGACGAGGGAACCGAATGGACATTTCGAGCTGTCGGCCACAGGAGGCCCCCAAGAGGCCGCCAAGCGACCTCAAGAGGAGCCCCAGGAAGCAATCAGAGGCCCCCAAGAGGCCCCCAATATGCCCCCAAGAGGCCCCCGAGAGCGCCCCCAATTGTCCCGAAGAAGCATCCCTGAGGACTCTGACTCGCAAGCCAGGCACGGTGGCGGGATAGGCCGAACGCAATTAGATCCGCCGCCCCCAGTGGTCTTGCCACAGGGGTGCCCAGCGTGCTAGATCCTACTGGTTTGGCTTTGCTTCTGTTTCAACTGGAACTCCCCATGGAGCTTCGGCATGTCCCGCCGCCCACCTGGAATGGCCCGCCCGCTGCGCCACTCACGCCGTTTCGCTCAGGACAACCTCAAAAAAATGCGATCTTGGGGATCCCGGCCCAAGACCCAAGACGCCTGATGACAAGAATGAGCGTCTGCCTCCAAGTTCGCCCCAGAAGCCTCCAAGACGGCCAATGACGGCCCCAGAGGCCTCCCAGAGACCCTCCAGGAAGGCCCAAGAGACCAAAATCATTGAATTTCCTTTGTTCTTGAAGGATTTGGGTATTTGTTTCTTTTCGGCCTTCCGACGGCACGAGACGGCCCAAGAGCACCCAAAGCTCGGCCTCAGATCCCCCAAGAGGCATCCAAGATGGCCCCAGAACGGCCAAAGAGGCCCCAAAGACGGCCCAAGAGGGCCCCAAGACGGCCCAAGAGGTCTCCAAGACGCCCTAAATGGCCTCCAAGATGGCCCTGGATCACCCGAAGAAGGCCCTAAGTCGGCCCAGAGAGGCCCCCAAGACGACTTCCGACGGCGTCAGACGGGCCAGGAGGCCATCAAGACGGCCCAAGATGGCTTCAAGGTGGCCCAAGGCGGCCCAAGGGGCCCCAAGAGGTCTCCAAGACGGCCCAAGAGGCCCCCAAGAGGGCAGACCAAAATCAGGCCCCAAGAGGTTCTTGTAGGATCTTGGCATTTGCTTCTTTTCGGCCTTCCGACGGCCCGAGACGGTCAAAGAGCCCCCAAAGATCGCCCCAAGATCCCCCAAGAGGCATCCAAGATTTCTCCAGAACGGCCCAAGAGGCCCCTAGGACGGCCCCCAAGATGGCCCCAAGACGGCCCCAAGAAGCCTCCAAGACTCCCAAGATGGCCTCCAAGACGGCCCTGGAGCAACCTAAGAGAGCCCCATGTCGGCCCAGAGAGGCCACCAAGACGGCTTCCGGCGGCGCCAGACGGGCCAAGAATACCCTAAGACAGACGGCCAAAGAGGCCCCCGAAAAGCCCTCAAAGGCCCCCAAGAGGCCCAAGGAGGCCCCCAAGATGCCTCCAAGAGGCTCCCAGGAAGATCCCAGGAGGCCCCAAGATTGCCCCCAGAGGCTCCCAAAATGCCCCCTCCTCCTCCTCCTGATCTTCCCCGCCATCCTCCCCCAAGTGTTCCCCAGAGGGTTTCTACAACGGCTGGGGGAACACATAGTCCGATAGCTTGGCAGAGGTCATGCCACAACGCTCAGCGACACGGGCGATTCCCAAAGACAGAGGGCGGCGGTGATTCGCCGTAGGCGTCTTCGTACACGGATGGAAGGCCGATGGTCTTCGAAATGGAGTTCTCGCCTTAGTGCCGCACAGATGTGTCTTCAAATATTTCAACATATGTCAACTTGAGGGCTGGTGGTTTTCAAAATGTAGCTCTCGCATCAGCGCCATGCACATCAGTCCTAAATGTTTCCAGCAATAATATGGATGGAGTCTGGCACGTTTTCAAGATGGGATTCACACCGGGGACTTATCCGAATGTATCACCAAAAATGCACACTCGTGCAACAGTTACACGGATAATGGGCCAATGTTCTCCTCAGCGCCACGCACATCCGTCATGAAAGCATCCGACAAATACACAGATGGAGAGCCGGTGGTTTTCGACATGGGGTTCTCGCCTTCGCACCACGCACGATCGTCCCAAAAGGTGCCAACAAATGCTCGCATGGAGGGCCGGTGGCTTTCAAAGTATAGCTCTCACGTTTTCAAAACGGAGTTGTTGCGCAAGGCACGAGAGCCCAGAATCGAATCGATAGATCGGATCTGCGATAGAAATACATCGGATCGGCGGAAATCAGCAGCCGAGTCGGGAAAAGTCGAATCGGTGGAAATCGGCAGGCTAGTAGGCCTCCAATGAGATATCGAATCTCATATCGAAATCCGAAGTCGAATCGAATCGGAATCGGAATCCATCGAAATCGAATCGAATCGAATCGGGGGAATCAGAATGAGTCCTGGCAAGGCTTCGTCAAAAAAAACGTGTGTGAAAGCATGCAGCGGGTACACGGATGGAGGCCCCTGCGTTTTCGCCGCGGTGCTCCCACCTTCGCAGCGCCCACAGTCGTCTTCAAAGCTTCTGGCAAGCACGAGGTTGGAGGGCCAGTGATTTTCAAAATGCCACTCTCGCCTCCTCCTCCTCCTCCCCCTCCTCCTCCTCCTCCCCCTCCTCCTCCTCCTCCTCCACTCCTCCTCCTCTCCTCCTTCCTCCTCCTCCTCCCTCTCCTCCTCCTCCTCCTCCTCCCCCTCCCTCCCTCCGCCCTCCGCCCCCTCCTCCTCCTCCTCCTCCTACCTCCTCCTCATCCTCCCTCCTCCTCCTCCTCCTCCTCCTCCTCCTCTCCCTCCTCCCCCTCCTCCCCTCCTCCTCCTCCTCCTCATCCTCTCCCCCTCCTCCCCCTCCCTCCCCTCCCCCTCCTCCTCCTCCTCCCCCTCCTCCCTCCCTCCTCCCTCCCCCTCCGCGCACACTCGTCGCAAAAAAACTTCCCGCAGCTGCGCGGACGGAGGGCCGGTGGTCTTCCCGACGGGGCGCTCACCTCCGAGGCTTCCTGACGGCCCGTTGCCACACGTGTGAAGCAGTGCAACGGCTGCACGGGCTGAGAGCGGTTCCCTCTCAAGATGTGGCTCTCGCATGAAACCTCGCAACTGTTCATAACCAAACTTTATGTATCTGTGTATATATGTATATATATATATATATATATATATGTATATATATGTGTCTATGCACGTAGATGTCTATAAATACAGAGAATATATGCATATTAATATAGATACGTATAGATATACATATACATAGTTATATGTATACATGAATGCACAAAGGTTTAGAAAATAATGTGTATATATAAACAAATAAAACCAAATAATTGTAAAAAAGAGAAGATAAATATATATATATATATATATATATATATAAACAAAAAACGCAACCGCTACAAGGATGCAGGGCGGTTCGTTTTCCAAGTGGGGCTGTCGGTGCGCACTTCCTTGAGCTTGAAGCCCTTTTTTGTCGAACTCCTCATTGCTCGAAGCACGCAGGGCGGCGTGCTTTGACACGGGGCTCCCGCCAGACTTGCGGGCCCCTGATGCCCTCGTATTTCCAGGGGGGTGCCTCTTGAGACGGGAGGACGTGTTGCAGCATCGATGATACATCTCGAGATTGCTCATGTCCTCATCCTCCTCCTCCGCCGCCGCTGAACAGGAAGGAGGATACCCCTGGTACTTCGCGTTAGGTCGGGCGTGCCCTCCTGCAGGCGGGTTTTGAGCGAAAATTGTAAGATAATCAAAAACATGCTCAATCGTCGAAAAATCGTCCCCAGAGTATTTGTTGACTATGTTTGAGCATTCCGCCGGCGGAGGGACAGGCCCGACGTAAACTTGGGCAGGGCACCCAGGGCAGGGAGCGCCCCCTCCAGAAGACCCAGGGCCCCCTCCAGAGAGCGCAGAGGCAGCCTTGCAGTCCGACCTAACGGCCCCAAAACTCAGCTATGAGCTGGCCCAGCAGGGCTCCGAGACTGCCCCAAGACCTGCCGAGACGACCACAGGATAGTTCCACCGAGCCCCTGCGGGAGAGGTCGGCAGAGGCATCGCGCCCAGGACGGCCCCGTCAGATCCGAGCGGGCGCCCCGCGAGAGGCCATCCACGACAGCCCGTGAGGCCCCGAGAGGACCTCGAGAGGCCCCGAGAGGACCCCGAAGAAGCAGCCAAAGAATACCCGACAAGCAGTGGGACAGCCATGCAAATGCTACGGCCCCGCCACGCTACAGCATCGTGGCGGTGCTGCACGAACGCCAAGCAAGGATGGCTGCACGAATGTCAAGAGGCTGGATCCATCGAGCATGTCAGGAGAAATCCGTGGAGGCACCACGCATGCATTTCAGTGATGCGCGCAGGGAGGAGAGAACGAGAGGATCACAGGGGACGAGATGATGGCAGGGAGCGGGAGGGGAGGGGAAGGGAGGAGGGACGGAGAAAGAGGAGGGGGGCAGGAGGGCAGGGGACGGGGGCGTGTTGATGTCTCGTTTGATACTGTCTGTCCCCGCAGCCCAGCCCTGTCGGTCACACCTCAGCACGGCGTCGTAGAGCTGCAGACCCAGCATGTGCAGAACTTGGCCCCACCTCAAACAATCTGAGCGGGTGCGCATGCGCGGGCGAGTCGAGAACCGCATCAGGGTGGCCCTCTCGACATGAGGCCGCCGACGTCGGTGTCGGCTTCGCTTACCCCCCGTCGCCCACACATGAATGGAAGCGTGTGGTCCCATCCCCAAAGAACCACGCCACTGGTGAAATCACGATCTGTGCTCTCAGGAAGCATGCAGACACGAGCAGCGCAGCGGCAGTTGCCAGTTTACTCGGGCCAGTTTGCTCATCATCCCCTCCCCCATTTCATCCTCATCAAACTGATCATCCCTCTGTCCTCCATGTCAGCCACCGCATCATAATTCTACCCATAGCACTGTCGTCCTCTTCTTGCTCATCCTCATCCTCAAATTCATCCTCCACCTCCGCGTCCTTCAGTCATCGAACTGTGTTTCTTCGCCCTGGTCCCCCTTCTCGTCATCCTTTCAGCTCTCTGACCAAGTGACGTTGATTTTCACTCCCGCCCACTGAACGGAACTCCTCGCGGAGCCGATCGAAAGCATCCTGCGCGTTGGCCCGGTCGGCATCGAGCTCCTGCCAATATGGGGGACACTGAAGTATTGTGTATAGCGTGACAAACACACACACACACACACACACACATATACATATATATATATGTATTATATATGTGTATACATACCTGTATACATACATACATGCATATATACATACATACAGACATGCATACACACATTACATACATACATACATACATACATACATACATACATACATACATACATACATACATACATACATACATACATACATACATACATACATGCATACATACATGCATACATACATACATACATACATACATACATACATGCATGCATGCATGCATGCATACATACATACATACATACATACATACATACACACATACATACATACATACACATATGCATGCATACATACATACATACATACATACATACATACATACGTACGTACGTGCGTACATACATACATGCATGCATACATACATACATGCATTTGTGCATACATACATAACATGACATAACATAACATAATATAACATAGCATAACATAACATAACATAACATCGTATCACATCACATAGCATAACATACATACAGACAGACAGACAGGCAAACAGGCAGACAGACACAAACACACACAGTATGCATGTACATATGTGTATATATATACATAAATGTACATAGACATATGTACAATAACCACGCGCGCGCTAAGGTTCTAGTCGATTTCGAAACTGGTGTCCGTGGGTACCGCGAACATCCCAGGATACTGTGGGACGGATATCCTGGGCATGCACTGCCTCTCTCTCGCGGGTGCGCGGAGCCTCCTGGGGAGTGCGTGTTGCTTCAGGGCGACTGCGGGGCCGTCTGAGAGCGCCATGGGACGCATCGGAGTCCGTGGGAACCATCTGGGGGGCGTCTGGGGAGCTGCCTGGGAGCCTCTGAGGTTTGTCTGACGGTGTCGTCCTCCTTGGGTCCTGTCGTGGGGGTCTCCTGGGGCCGTCTTGTGCTCTCTTGGGGGCCTCTTGGGACGTTTTGGAGCGCTGAAAGCTCGAAAACGCGAGAAGACCAGAAACCTTTTGAAAAACTATAATAAAATTCAACGATTGGGGCTCCTTGGAGCTCTTTTGGAAGACAGTTTGGAGGCCCCCGACAAAAAAAACGAGTAAAACCCCAATGGGGGGTTCCTGGGAGGGTTCGACGAACTGCCACACCCAACTGCATCACCATCTCAGCATCGTCATCATCATCATCATCATCATCATCATCATCATCATCATCATCATCAGCAGCATCAGCATCGTCATCATCATCATCATCATCATCATCATCATCATCATCAGCATCCGCATCCTCATCATCATCATCAGCATCAGCATCGTCATCATCATCATCATCATCATCATCATCATCATCATATCACCATCATCATCATCACCACCACCACCACCATCATCATCATCATCATCATCAGCATCACCATCATCATCATCACCATCACCAGCATCCTCATCATCATCAGCACCAAGACCAGCAGCAGGGTTAGCATCAGCGTCGTCATCAGCATCATCATCAGCATCATAATTTATCAGCATCACCACCGTCACCACAAGTATCAGAATCGTCATCGTCATCAGCATCATCATCATCATCAACATCATCATCATAATCACTATCGCCATCATCAACAGCATAGTCAGCATCATCATCAGCATCATCATCATATGTTTCATCATTATCTCCATCAGCACCATCATCGTCAGCATCATCGTCATCGTCGTCATCACCATCATCATCACCAACATCACCATCATCATCACCATCATAATCATCCTGAGCATCAGCAGCATAATCACTAGCATCGTCGTCATCATCAGCGTCAGCATCAGCATCAGCATCAGCATCATCAGCAGCATTAGAATCATTACCAGCATCATGATCATCATGATCATCATCATCGTCATCATGATGTTCCTCACTCGCAAGTACGGCCCCTGGTGCCCCCTCGAAGGAGAGCCGCCGAGCATGCTGGGCTGGCACGGTGGCGGGACTTGCCGCAGGCAGCTGGATACATATATATATGTATGCCTACATACATACATACATACATACATACATACATACATACATACATACATACATACATACATACATACATACATACATACATACATATATACAATGATATATATATACATATGTAGATATATGTGTGTGCGTGTGCTATGTATATGGCGACTTCTCGTTTGTCCTGACACTTGCTGTTGGTCCCCAATTTCCCCGGCACAGGGGGGCAACCCCAGCAACAATTCCGTCAATATCGCCTTCAAGCGTGGCGCACTTACACCTGGGACACCCCGAGTCAGGGCATCTCGGAGCCGAGTATGTCTCTGGCGAAACGTGCCTGAACACATCGCGGACCACGTCTTGGAACCCAGAGTGGTGAGAACGTCTCAAGCGAAACGGGTTAACAACATATTGAAACCCAAGGATGTCTCAGGCGAAACGGGCCAGAGTACCTCGCGAGCCGCATCTTGAAATCCAGGTGTGAGTTGCGAGAATGTCTAAAGCCCAGCGGGCCTTACTAGGAAACTCGAGTCAAGGCACCTCGGAGCCCAGGGTTCCGAAGATGTCTCACGCAAAACGGGCCTCAGCCCCTCCCGAACCGCATCTTCAACCCAGAATTGCGAGGACGTCTCAGGCCAAACGGTCAGAGCCAGGGACTCCGAGGATGTCTCAGGCGAAACGTGCCGAAGTACCTCGCAAACCACATCTTGGAACCCAGAGTAGTGAGAACGTCTCAAGCGCAACGGGCCAGAGCACCTCAATTCAGGGCATCTTTAAGCCTGGGGTTCCGAGGATGTCTCAGGCAAAACGGGCCTAAGTACCTCGCGACCCAAATCTTGGAATCCAGAGTTGTGACGATTTCTCAAGCGAAACGAGCCAGAGCACATCAAGTCAGGGCATCTCGGAGCCCGAGGTTCCGAAGATGGCTCTCTGTGGGCCATGTGGCGCACCCAGCTCTTTTGATGGCAACCACTCGCGGGCACCGCCGTTGGGGTTGCCGGGGTCGCCTGGAGCTGTTCCGGCCTACCCGGGCACCCGGGCTCACGTGCACTACCCCCCCCCCGCCAGCCAGGGCAAGCTCCGGATGAAGCCCAGACCATCACCAAAGTCCAAACCGAAGTCGCCAGCGAGGACCATACGGCTCCGAAAACACACCTCCGCCCACTAAAACACACGGACGGTTCGTGACATCCTCACAATCTGAGCGCAAACGGGCCCGTGACACACCCTTCGTCGACAGAGCACCAGCCTGCATCCCGAGGCACGATCAAGCCGCGTCCAGCCCTGGCGACGAGAAGTGTCTCGAGAGCATTGTAAACAAGAGTACTTGTCTGACGAGCATTACCCTTCCTCCTCCTCCTCCTCCTCCTCCTCCTCCTCCTCCTCCTCCTCCTCCTCCTCCTCCTCCTCCTCCTCCCTCCTCCTCCTCCTGTACTCCTCCTCCTCCTCCTCTCCTCCTCCTCCTCCTCCTCCTCACCTCCTCCTCCATCCTCCTCCTCCCTCCTGTCCTCCTCTCCTCCTCTCCTCCTCCTCCTCCTCCTCCTCCCCCTCCTCCTCCTCCTCCTCCTCCTCCTCCTCCTCCAACAGGAGGCGACCATAAGAACCGAATCACTCAGGCCAAGACTTGAGATCTGGGGGGAGCTTCCCCGCTGAAAGACGTGTGACACTTTCTTGCCATGGGCAGTGAGGCCTGGCACATACTGCTTGCCTAGCTTCAACAGGACCGACGCATGGGAAGCATGAACCGACGCGGGGATCCCAGGGCAGCTCGAGAGGAGGAACGACTCTGGGTCATGAGACTCCTTGACGAGACAAGCCTGGCACCACCACACACCCGAAGAAGACCGTTCAACTCGGCGCTGCGTGGCGGACATGAGTTGTTCAAGCCTTTCTGTACGGGCCTGAAGAGACTGGGCAGCACGCAACTTGGCTTCTTCCTGGCGGTTGCCGCTGGCGGAGGCCCCATATAGGGTTGGCGCCTGCTTAACCAAAGACTGGGACACCGCCAGGAACGAATCAATCACTTAGTAATTCACCCTTCCCGACTATCTGGCGACGATTGTCAAACAGGATCTGGGCCATCCTAGCAACTTCATCTGCCGCATAGTCGACCAGAGGATTAACTTGCCAGTGGGCCACTTCATGTCCTAGGGCCCTGGCATCCTGGAGACTGAGATGGGAGCGAATGCGCCGCACCTGGATGGGACGATCACCTACTGCTCTCAACAACTCTTCCCAGAACAAACCTAGCTTCTTAGGTTTAAACCTCGGACCCGCACGGATTCCTTCGACTACTCCTTCATCAGCAATGCCACAGAAAATAAGCCTTGCAGTGCAGTGAACAGCTCTCATAATCGCAAGTTCTGCTGCTGGGACAGTGCGGCGGTCGATTGGCAGGGGTCCTCCTAAGGCCCCGCCGACGCGGTCTAGCTGGTCCGAGCAAAGAATCAAAACCCCAACCACGCCGACGAAGCTCAGGGTCAACCGAGCCCTCCCCCCCCCCGAACCATCCGACCCAATCACGCACCCCTCATCAAGTACTAGCCGCCCTCTCAGATCCTTGGGTCAGCACTCCACAAAGGGAATAAGTCCAGGCCAAGGGCGGCAAACCTCTGTGCCAGAAACTGGGTGCCTCTTGGCTACCATCTCCTGCCTGTTGAACTGGACTCTCTTTATACCCCAAGATATGGCGATTGGCGGGGCAACTCCAGAGCTGGCGGAGGAGCGTCTCTTCGGGGGCCCCACACTCGGGAGACTCCCACGAGGCTCCGCGCCACACAAACCGCATAAGAAATCTTCCTCCTCCTGCACCTGAGCTGCGCGAACCCCTTGATCGATCATGGAGTCGAAGTCATATTCCAACCCCTGCGCCTGCGAGCTAGCTGAGCGTTCGCTAGGGCGGGAAGGGCGTCGGGGCTCCACTCCAAACAGACGGGCGGCTGGCCAGAGGGCCCCAGTGTAAATTCTGGAACTGCCGCCTGATCATGGGCCCCCGTGGCCTTGTTTATATTCATCTTCAGCAGGGCAATATACATGTCAGAGCGGCCTCGAAGACTACTGACATGATAGTGTTCGCCGGCGTTCCTCCAGCCTGTCTGGTCAAAAACTTCGGGGAGAACAAAATCGAGCAGTTCCCCGGGATCACATGCATCTGGCTGACCAGGAGGCGATTCTGCTTCGAGAAGGCACGCGACCATTGCTGCGACTAAACCACTCACCCGCTCCCTGCGCTTGGCCGCATCTCCGAGCCTGACACGAACTTCATCCCAAAGCGCGGAGTCCGTGCTCATTGGTCTGCAGGAGTGCCGGCAAAAGGTGCGTCCATTCTCTGAGGGCTCGCATGCACAGCGGTAGCACAACCTCCCCCCGCCCCCCCCCACCACCACGCCAGCCATTGCTGAGCGGGCTTGACGGGCCATGCTGGGACTGACTCCTGAGGCTTCACAACCCCAGAGAGCCTGGGGCTGCCACCCCGTGCGCACAAGACCCCTGGCTCGCCTATCTGGTTTGACAACACGCTCGATATTGGAAGCTCGCTGCGATGCCTTGGCAAAACGCTGGTTCGGCACTGCTACTGAGCGAGCTTTGCCTACTGCGCCTATGCCGAGGTCCTTGCCTGACTTGCCACCCCGAAGAATGTGGCCAGCCGAAGCGAGAGCAGAAAGCACCTGCGAGGCGAGAGCACTAGGATTGGCGAGGACCTGGCTTTTACTGGAAATGATAAAGCCAGAAGACTTGAGCATATCTGCGAGGCCAGAGCTGGTTTCTACAGCCTGATTCACAATGACCCCACCGCGACCAACGCGCCGTTGGCTGAGATCATCCACCCAGGATTCCAGAGCCAAGGGTCGATAAGCCGCGTGAACACGTCAACGCTTTGGGAACAGCAAGCAAGCAGGCTGCTACCTGGCACAATCGGATCTGGCATGGAGCCTGCAGCCCTGAGCCTCCGAGGCGCTCCATGCATGCCCAGAGCTAGACAAAGAGGCATCACGGGATACTCAACTCGCTGGCCGACACTCACGACTGCATCGAGCTGAACATGATCATAAAATGTCTCCAAGTCCCCGAGAATCTGGATCCAGCTGAACCCCATGGCCGAAGCCACTGCACACTGGGCCTGCCGCAGGAGGGCCGCTCACAGGGCTTAGAAGTCCCGGACAGCTCTGTCCCAGAACTGCACACGAGTGGCAGACCAATTCGAAGTGATACACTTGCGCTCCCTGCCCCAGACCCAGTAGAGACATCGGGTTAAAGCAATCGGCCAATCTGCAACTGCACTCTTAAAGATGCGCTGAATCACTACTAGCCTGACCTGTGGTGGCCAGGTCAATTCAGACTCGGTTTCCTCAGGGATCTGCTGGGGCCTCCTCCACCTGTTCGACAGAGAGCGGTTCGCGTTCGGCCTGGTCTAATTTCGCCTGCCTGCGGAAATGCCCCAGCCAAGACGGAAGCGCCTGCGACCCAGCTTGCCACCAATCCGACCACCTCCGAGCCTCCACCCCCAGAGCATCTCCTGGATCGGCAACAATTTCACCTGACGCGTCGGGGTCGCAGCTGAACCCAGGGGGTTCTGACCCCCACGTCTTGGCGTGAAAATGAAGAACCCCGCTCACTCTCGAGATGGAGTCACGCATCCGTCGCTTGTAAGGGCTCTTGAGAAATTCGCTTCAGGAGAACGCAAGAAGAGCGAAAGCTTGCGAGGCTGGCCTCCAGATCCTTTCCCGAGGTAGCTGGTCCAAGGGACCCCAAACTTCAAGCACAACTTCCTCTCGTCTCTCAGGCAGAAGGCGCGGCAGCTGCAAAACGCGGTTGCAGGCCGCTGAGACTCTGAAGCGGTCTGGGTGGGTCGTCCTTCCTTCAGCAGGCCCGTCCATCAAGCGAGCCGAGAATGCAGCGCCCACCAGACTGATAGATTGAAGGTCTCTGCTAACCACCCTGCAGGCTTGGTCGCCACTAAAGGGACTTCCTGCACTTGAACGCGCCGGCCACGGCGCATGCTGGCGTCTTGAAAGTTACCTGACACATCACGATTGGCGTGGAAAGACTCAGCTGGTAGACAGAAATGCATGTAAGCTTGACCTAAACCTCGGGCTGACGGGGACTCTTGCTGCCGCTGGGGATACTCGAGGCCCCTCTGCAAGAGCCCCCTGGTACCCCTCTGGTGACACTCACAAGGCAAATCGGGCCCAGAGCACGCACCAGCGGAGCGGGCTGAGCGAAGACCGTACGCAGATGACGAATACTGGAGACCCGAAGAGTCCCTCGAAGCCTGTGCGAGGTTCGGCCTAAGGCGGAAAGGGGCCCCAGGTGAGCTCAAGAGCCTGAGTGAGGGCCTCAGAGACCAAGCGAAAATCAATGAGGCGGGCTCCTCATGGGACCTCACCTTTCGGGGCACAAAATTCTCCTAGCAAAAAGGTGTGCTGCCCACTGTCAGCTACTTCCTAGATCTCCATCTTCCAATCGCCTGCTATGACATACTGTTTGCTTTGCGCCTTGACATAGCCTGCTATTTCACCCAGAAGCGTCACATTTTCGCCTTGGAGGCCCAAGCTCGAGACACAGTAGAGCACCACAAAGACTATGTCAATCTCTGCCATGCGGATGGTGTGGCTGGTCCACTGCGTGGGCCCTGACGGGCCTCCTGGATTGAGGTTGCCCTTTATCTCTGGAAAGAGGACGATAATGCAAATGCCTGCGAACCAAGAACCAAACACCTCCATGAAATCCACCACGAGAAGTACCAACTGCAGCCCGGGAAGATGCTTTCCACCCAAGCTTCTCGAGTTTTCTGATGGCTTCAATGTGACGTGGGCCACGCAGATGACTGGGTAGTCGAAGCCAATCTGGCGCCAATCTGGCAGGCCCAATCTGGCAAACGGGGGCAATCTGGCGAGGGAGCCAACGCGAATCCAGTCTGGCAAATAACGCAAATCATCCAGTTTGGCCAGGCCAGATTGGCCCTTGGGGCCCAATCCAATCTGACAGTCTGGCCTTCGACTACCCAGGATGATGCTCAGCCACAAGAATGGCATCAGAAGCTCGAAATCCACCAGAATCTTGATTCCTTCCTCCTCCTCCTTCTCCTCCTCCTACTCCTCCTCCTCCTCCTCCTCCTCCTCCTCCTCCTCCTCCTCCTCCCACTCCTTCTTCGCCTCGCACTCCTCAAAGGTTGCTCGGAATTGCGGGGACGTCTCATGCGAAACTGGCTGGACCCCCTCGCACGCGGCATCTCTTTGCTAAGAATTGCGGGGACGTCTCAGGCCAAACTGACCGGATCACCTCGCGGGCAGCATCTTCAACCCTAGCGTAGCGACGATGCCTCAAGCGAAACGGACGAGCCAACCTCAGGTCACAATTCACAGCATCCCCGAACCCAAAAATGTTGAGGATGTTTCGAGCGATATGGTCCAGACCACCTCTCGCCTAGCGTCTGGGAGGCCAGAGTTGCGAGGATGGCTCAAACAAAACGGGCCGGACCACGCCAGATCTGGTCGTCTCGGAGCGCAGACTTGCGACAATACCTCGTGCGACACGAGCCGAACCACCTCAAAGTGTTGCCCATTTCTCGAAGTGCGGGCCCCTCGGGCGGCAATCGTTCTTACCGCAGCAATGCCCCCCGGCACCGGCCGGGCGGCCCTGGAACACTCCAAGACGAAGCCTTCTGAACAGAAACAAACGAGAGAGGTTCCCCTATGTGCACACACAAGCGCATGGGTGCGCTAGATGCGCAGCTCCTGGGAGGCCCGAGATGGGCGCGCGAGCGAAACCATAATGCACCAGGTGCACTCTGGAGAACCAGCCCCGTATAGCGCGTATAGCGCGGACAAGCTGAGCAACTCCACCCAGCCTCGCGCCACGTCCATCTAGCTCCCCACTTAATGGTCTACGACGAAGCGGCGCGGACAGAAGGAGGATGCGAGGAACAAGAAGAAGGTGAGACTGCTAGGCGAAGCAAATCTTCGACTGACAGAAGAAAGAGGATGGGAGGGGCGAAGGGAGTGCGGGGAAGAGGAGGCAGATAATGAGGAGGAGAAGCAGAAGCAGGGCAGAGGAGATAGAGGATGCCAAGAGGAAGCCGAGGAGCATGCCGAGGAAGAGAAGCAGGCAGAGTGAGGGGGAGGGGGAGCAGAAACAGCAGGCTAAGGAGGAGGAGGCAGAGAAAGCAGATGAGGAAGAGCGGCGGGACTCAGGAGAATCTCGCCAGGCCGCACTCAGCTGCGACAGCTGGTGCGCCCAAGGCCCTCAGGAGTTTAACTGATTGACAACGACGACCTCCTCGAAGGAGAAAGGATAGCCGCAGTTCTAGCCGCACGAAAGGAGTGAGGAGGACGGCGCTGGATGTTCATCCTTGCGCTGCATTGCTGTGGTGGCGGTGGGGGCCATCCGGAAGAGGGGGGAGGGAAAGGAGGAGGGGGAGAAGGAGGAGGAGGAGGAAACGGAGGAGAATGAGGAGGTGGAAGAAGAAGATGATGAGGAGGAGGAGGAAGAGGCATGAATGGAGGAAGCAGGTTGGGAGGGGGAGCAGCACGCGGAGGAGGAGCAGGCCGAGGAGGAGGCGGAGCAGGCAGAGGAGGCAGGAGAAGGCTGCGGAAGAGAGACCTGGAGCGGAGCGCCGCTCCTCCCGGAGGCGCGCGGCGACGGCGCGCTCGCGCTCGCGCTGGGCGCGCTCCTGCGGACCCGAGGATGGCGTGGGGACGGGGCCGCTGCCCTCCTCCTTCCTACTCCTCCTCCTCCGCCTCCTCCTCCTCTTCCTAGCCTTCTTATTTGTATTAGCATGTTCATTTTCTATTAGTAGTATTATCAGCCTTCTTAGAGTTCTTATTATTCTGCTCCATCTTGTTACTATTCATAATAGTAGTATTAGTAGAATCATTATTAGTGTTCCTACTAGTATGTGTTGTATTAGTGTTCGCATGTGTAATAGTAATATGATTCTCTTTTGTATAGTATTATTACTGTTGTTCGTAGCAGTGGTGTTATTATTAATGGTGGTCTTAGATCTGACGTTCATATGTTTCTTCTGTTACTAATTGGTATGTATACGTACGACGTCTCGTATTCTGAGCGTTAGCATTCTTATGAATATAACTGATATCATGTTTATCATTAATAACCTGAGTAGTATACGCCTTACTAGTAGTAATATTCGTCTAAAGAGTAGTATTATGGTTAGTATTGGTATTACCCATACTCTTATTATTACTAGTAGTACTATACGTATCCTTCGTATGAACTATATTAGTTTTCGTGTTCGTCGTATTATTCTTACTAGCCTATGAATTTAATGAGTACTACGATTATCAATGATATGTTTATGAGTCGCATTCGTCTTTGTATAAGTAGTATCCGTCGTCTTATTAGTTTGCATAATATTACCACTATTCGTTTTAGTACGTATAACTATTAGGTATTATAGTCCGTATTATCAATGTCTTAATAATTGGCAACAGTCTTAATAATAACAATGATAATACTACTAGTCGTCTTACTATTGATATGGTTGTTCTTATTCGTATGTGTATTAGTGGTGTTACCCTTATTTCCATTATAGTATTATTGTTATTATGAATCCTCCTCCTCCTTCTCCTCCTCCTCTTCCTCCTCTCTCCTCTGTCTCCTCCTTGTCCTCCTCCTCCACCTCCTCCTCCACCTCCTTCTCCTCCTCCTCCCAATGAATCGCGTGGCCCCACGGGGCTAGATGCTGAGCGAGGTTGAAAGTTGTTTGTCCCTGGCCTTCGTGGGAGGAGGCAGCCGTGCCTGCTCAGGCTGCTCGAGACGCGATATCGGCAAAGGCGTCAGCAGCAGCCAGAAGCCTTGAAAGCCCCTGCCCACAACCCCCATGTACTTGGGTCGTTCACCCCTTTTCCTTGCATGTGAATGGGGCCGCCCAAGTACCAGCCTAAGTTTGTGCCTCCCCCTACTCCTCCCCACCTTCCCACCTCCACACCTCTCCACATCTGAACATCCGCACCTCTCCTCAACCCCACCGTCATCCCCGATCACTCCTCCTTTCCAAACGCCCGCGGGGGGGGGTTCAACCCCTGCCAATTATCCGCTGTCCTTCCTACAAAAGAGGTGTGTGTGTGTGTGTGCGGAGGGCGTTTGGCCTCCTCGCCCATGGGCCAAACCTGGTCCGAAAAGCTACGCTCTCCCCCCTCCTCCTCGGTATCGCCCTCCTCCTCCTCCCCGTCCCCTCCTCCTCCTGGCCTAGTCATCCCCTCCCCCCATCCCCCCCGTCGAGGACGACAACGATGACAACGAAGACGACGACGACGACGATGACGACGATGATGATGACGAAGACGACGGAGACGACGACGACGACGACGACGACGATGACGACGACGACGACAACAACGACGACGACAACAACGACGCTGGCGCAAGCCCCGGCCCCGGCCGCGGTCGCAGCGGCCACGACGACAACAACGACGGCGACGGCGACGACGACGACGACGATGACGGCGGCGACGACGACGACGACGACAGCACCAGCAGCGACGGACGGCGGCGGCGGCGGGGCCCTCCTCCCGAAGGCCCTCGGCGGCCGAGCGGCCCCGCCCGCGCTCCGCGGCGAGCTCCTCCGCCAGCATTGCTCGCCGTCGTCGTCGTCGTCGTCGTCGTCGTCGCCGTCGTCGTCGTCGTCGTCGTCGTCGTCGCCCAGCAGGATGGAGGGGGAGGGGAGGGAGGACGGGGAGGGGGGGGAGGGGGGGGGGAGGGGAGAGGAAGGGAGGGGGAGAGGAGGGAGGGGGGGGGAGGGAGGGAGGGGGGAGGGGAGGGGGGGGGAGGAGGGGGGGAGAGCGACGGGGCGGAGGAGGAGGGGCAAGCTAGGTGCGATCGCGTCAGATCTGACGTCCTACCCCTCCCTCCCATCCTTTACCACGGCGTAGATATCTTCCCAAATCGCACAGTACGCGACGCATGGTTTAGCACGGCATTGCATGGTTTAGCATGACATAGCATGGCGTGGCATTGCGCTGTGAAACATTGCATCACAAAGCATTGCAACGCAAAGCATGACATCGCACAGCGGCGCAGAACACAACACCGCACAGCATGTCATGGCATGGCGCCAGGTTCCTTGGAGGGTAAGTGGATCGTCTTCGAGAGGTCTGGGCAGGTCTGGAGTCGTGGCTCCATGTCTAGCTCCGTGGGTTCCCGGAGAAGCTCCACAAGAGGCGGGGAGAGCACCCGCTGGCTCCGCTTCCAACATCGCCTTCGCAAAGCGGAAACGGGGCTCACGCTTGACACTTCCTGAAAACGACGACGCCTCAAAGTGGGGGGGGCTTCTGCGGCCCACAAGATCAACAAATCGACACCGAATGTGGAATCACTTCCAATAGTTTTTTCCGGGAGGGGGGTCTTTTCTACTATCTGGGCCCATTTGAAGGACCGAAAACGCCCGCACTGCAGCGGGAGCACAACTTGGAACAACCAGAGGCGCAGAAATGGGGGGGCCAGCGCTTTGGCGGGAGCTGTATCTTGCTTTGACCCCCCAAGAAAAACTCGTGCTTAAAATCAGTACGCGGAGGGGGGGCCCAGATATCTTTCGGACGTCATCAGGGAAGCTAAGAGTAGTACTCATATTGTGTAGTTGTAGAGGGGGGGGAGGGGGAGGGAGCGGGGGAGGAGGGGGGAGGGGAGGGGGGGAGGGGGAGCAGAGGTTAAGGGAGAGCCTCCGGGAGCGGAGGGCGGCCCAGAGGCTCCTCACGAGGAGGTTCCCGAGGAGGTTCCCGAGGAGGTTGCGAGGTGGCACCCTCCCACAGGAGGGCCCGGGAACGAGGGGGCGAGCGAGGGGAGGGGGAGGGAAGGAGGAGGGGACAGGAACGAGGGGACGAGGGGACGAGGGGAAGGAGGAGGGCCTGAGAACGAGGAGACGAGGGGAGGACGAGGGGACGAGGGGACGAGGGGAGGAGAAGAGACAAGGAGGGGGAGGGAGGGAAGAATCTCGGAAGAGAGGAGAGAGGGGAAGAAAGGTACGAGGAGGAACGGGGGGATCTGACGGGAGGAAACGGAAAATACGGAGGGATGGGGACGGAGACCCACACCGACTCGCTCACGGGCGGGGGTATGGCCTGAAGGGAAGGTGGAGGGGGAGAGGAGAGGGAAGAATATGAGGAGAAGGGAGATGAAAAAAACGTACATATCAAAAATCCACGTCACCATCCTCATACTACAAGAACCTTACTCCTCATTCCGTTCATCCTCCTTTACCTCCACTTGTTCCTCCTCCCTCCTCCTCCACCTCCTCCGCCTCCTCCTCCTCCTGCTCCGCATTCCCGTTATGCTCCTCCTCGCCATTGGCCTGAGCCGCTGTATCGTCGCCAGCACCACTCTCACCACCATTAGCATCGCAACAGTCAGGATCGCGAACACAGCAACCATCATGAACAACAAGTGCAACAATGACCAAAGCATCGCCAAAGCAATCCTCATCAGTATCAACCGCATCATCACCGCCAAAAGTATCGGCAGCAGCATCATCACCATCATCATCGCCACCACCAGCGTTATCATCGTCATCATCATCACCATCATCATCATCAGCAGCATCATCACCGTCATGATCAGCAACTTCATCATCACCATCATCAGCATCATCAGCGTCAGCATCATCGTCATCATCATCATCATCATCATCATCATCATCATCATCATCAGAATCATCATCATCATCATCATCATCATCATCATCATCATCATCATCATCATCATCGGCATCGGCATCGGCATCGGCATCGCCATCTGCATCATCAACATCATCATCATAAAAATCAGCACCCTGATCTGCACCGTTATCATCAACAGCAGCAACATCACTGTCGTCGTCGCCGCTGTCATCGTCATCAGCAGCAGCATCATCATTAGCATCAGCAGCAGCAGCATCATCGCCATCATCGCCATTGCCATCGGCATCATCATCCTCGTCGCTGTCACCATCGCCATCCTTATCTGCATCAGCACCGGTAGGAGCGACATCAACATCCTCATCGCCCTCATCACCAGCATCAGCAGTAGAACCACAACCAGCACGCGAAACCTCCACCCTCGTTCATCTTCGCGGGGCGGCGGCCGACGATTATTATCAATGGTGCAACTACTAAATTTGGTATGAATAGTATTCGTACTATGTTGACGGCGATACTGAATTATCAAGAAATTTATAATTATCCATATAATTGTCATTATCACCATCTTCAAAGGACGACGACCGAAAGGTCAAAAGGAAAGAAGACAGGCCAGAGAAGGAGCGGGAGAGGCCCAAGAGGGACCCCGAGGCCCGCGAAACCCCACGGGGCTACCGCTCAAAGGAAAGCTGGCACCAAGCACGAGGGGCAAACCACACCACCGCCGTTCATTATCAGCACCACCATCATAGGTACCATCTGTCAGTGCAGTTGTTTTCAGCAAAGACCGCGCGGCAGTCCAACTGCGGGTGCGTCCCAGGGCCCTAGGACTAGGGCCAAAACAGCGGCGGGCAGCGCGCATGCCACAAAACAAGAAAAGCGTGTACAACATACACACATGGTGGCACGGGCGGCAGAGGGGCAGGGGAGTGCACTCTTCACACTGGGTGAGTACAATGCTGCCCCGATGCCGCTCCCTCTGAAAAGGGCAACGCTGCACGCAATTATAATGTATATCAGCCCACGGGCCGAAACACCTCAAGCAGATGCGGCCTGAGGCTCGAAATATAAATATGAATGTCTAGATTCACCAATCCAGACTGTCAACTCAAAATATATGCATGAGACACCTCAAGCAAGGTGCGGCCTGAGGCTCAAAATATAAATACAAGAATATGAATATCTGGATACACTACTCCAGACGATCAACTCAAAGGATATGCATACATCACCGTAGCCCTCACTAGGTCCATCAGCAGCTGCAATCAGGACCTCACGGGCTCGCAGGCCCTGGAACGGCGACCCGACGCTGGGCCTTCCGCTCCTTGGCTCGCTCACGCTGTCCGCGGCGCAGCCGCAGACGGTGTGCCTCCTCATCCTCTTGCTCAGCAGTAGGCACCATGCTGAACAGGCCGTGGCGGAGGAACTGCGATAGTACCTCGTTAGGCTGCACGGCTTTTGTCAACACATCCGCTAGCATGTGGCTATTAGGCAGCCACTTGAACTTGATGGCCTCCTGCTCTATCAAATCCTTGGCCACCAGCAAGTCAATGAGGGTCTGCCGAGACACCGGCATCGACCCGATCTTGGACGTGTGATCGTAGAGCGACTTCGCATCCGTCACGAGCGCCCCTGGAACCTTCAGCGCCAGCCTCCAGTCCCCTTGCAAGGGCGGCTCCCCGTACAAGATTGCCTCAATCAGCAGCCTGAGGTAAAGCTGCCGATCCAAAGCCACGGACATAGCCGCAGATTCTGCGGCCATCGTAGATCCAACAACTCGTGTAATAGTACTGCTCTGAAACTCCACTAGACAGCATACGGTTAGCTCCTTCAAAACTCGGGTGTCCGTAATCATACTCATGAACCCCATTTGGCTCTTACAGCCGGGTTCCTTCGCAAACGAAGCGTCCATAAGCGTGAGCACCTGCAAGCGCTCGATGTCCACACGGCGGATCCGGAGAGTCGCAAGACCTCTCTTGTCGTAGTCCTGAAGCCGGTCGATGATGTCATGAGCACTCGCAGGTGCAGCAACCTCCGACCTTTCGGATCCTTCTGTGCGAGCGCCGAGACACTATACGCGAGTTGTGGCACCACGCGTGCGACAGGCCACCGCACCTTCTGGAGCAAGCTCCGGTAGTCGTGGTGCTCCTCGGGAGTCATCTCCCGCTCCTCGTTGTCACCCCTTGCAAGGGGGTGCTTCGTCAGCTTGCCGATGTACTCGTGCATGCTGATCTCGATGTGATCGGGGTGGCGCCACCACTCCTCACCGAGATAGGCGATTGCCTCCTTGTCGTTGCCCTTCTTCCAGTGCTTGATGTTGAAACGACTGTTGATGTTCGCCTTCACCTCCTGGTACTGGGGATCGTGTGGGTCTCCAAACAGCATGCCGTCATCGACGTGCAAGGTCAACATAGCGATCAACTTGTCTTTCATTCGATAAACGAAGACAGCTCGAGCACAGCGCAGCTCCACGAAACCGACCTCGTCCGTCAACACCTGGCGGGCTCGGAGATACCACAACCGAGGCGCCTCAGTCAGACCGTACGCCCCTTTCAGCAAGCGCAGCAACGCATAAGGCCGCACGGCTGGCCATCCAGCACCGTCGACGGCTGGAAGCCCGTCCTTAGGAGCCCTCACATACAGCTCCCGTTCCAGCTTCAGCCCGGACAGGAACGCAGTCGCTACGTCGAAACATTCGAATGTCCAATCCATCGCCATTGTGATAGACGCACACACCAGCACAGCCAAAGGGGAAGTAGTAGGCGAATCCGTCCTGAATAGACCAAGCTGCGGATCGAGATGGCCAGGGATGATCAAGCGAGACTTCGCCTCCAGCTCCAGCCCTCGCCCCCGGTTCGTGCGAACCGAACGCATGGGCACCGAGATGATCTTGTCCTTCGGGATGCTCTTCTCCTCCTCCTCGGTGACCAGCTCGACCGTGTTGTTGGCGATCCATTGCCGCCACTCG